GAAGAACTGAAGGAAATCATGCTAACCGAAGTAAGCCAAGCACAAAAGGACAAATACAACATGAGTCTGCTGAGGTAAGCTTTAAAAACAAAAACAAAAAAATGCAAAAGGGGCATAGGGAAAAAGCTACTGTAAACAAATATTCCTGGGGCGAGGACCAGGCAGTATGACAGGGGCCAGACCAAATCCAGGGATACATATGGTAGCCAACTAAAAAGGAGGTGGGGAAAGGAAGAAAAAAGAAAGAAAGAAATGGGTAGCAGGAGCACAGGACACTAACCCACCCAAGGGGAGGGTATTGTTTATATCTCCACAGGGAAAGAGGGACCAGACTTCAACCCAGTGCTCCAAGATGTGAATGCAACATGACAGCATGGAGTTGGGAACCAGTGGAGAGATCTGAGGTGCCAGCCCCAATCCCAACTACGTGGACACCTGCTCCTCCCCCCAGAAGAATTTATTTCAGAGGACAGCACTGAATCTGCAGCTCCGGGAGAGGGACATGTCTGGTCAGAGCACACGGGAGCAAATGAAGGGGGAGGAAGAGAAAGTGGAGCACATCCTGGCCCATCAAGCCTTGAGGACAATATTCCCACCCAGAGCAGCCAATCCACAGAGAAGACCACATGGCCAGTCCCACTATGTGACACAGCATCCCTCACTGACCCATAGCCCTACAGGAGACAACACTGGAGACATGGTGTGGGAATTCCGCCTGATCTGATCCCACCACACCAAGGAGAAACACTAAGGGTGTGCAACAGAACAGCAAGGGGAACAGAGCAATGAAGTCCCCAGGGAAGACCAAAAAGAGACTTTGGGGCCAGGGCTTGGTGCCCCAACAGACTCAACTGGAAAACACTCTTAAAGGCCACCAAACAGTCCTTGAACTAACCACAAGCTTTTATTTCTTTATCTCTACAGGTCTGTCTAAATAAGATAGGCTGGATGAACAATCTGGCAGAGAAAACAACAGGACCAACAGTTCTGGGGGGACAAAGGAGAGGGGGAGGTAGGGGGAAAGGTAGTGGAGTTAACAAACCCAGGGACAAGGGAACAACAAGTGATCTAAATCAGTGGGGAGGAGGATGTAGGAGGCCTGGTAGGGCGTGATCAAGGGTAATGTCACCGAGAGGAATTACTGAAACTCTAATGAAGGCTGGACATGATACTGGGACAAGAGGAAAGTCAAAGAAAATAGAAAGAGCTAGGAGGCAAAGGGAATTTTTAGAGGTCTAAATAAAGGCATATACATATGTAAATATATTTATATGAGGATGTGGAAATAGATCTATGTACATATATGTATAGATTTAGTATTAAGGTAGCAGATAGACATTTGGCCTCCACTCAAGTACTCCCTCACTGCAAGAATACTTTGTTCTATTAAACTGGTATTCCATGATGCTCACCTTCCCCACATGATCGGTGAAGACAAAGTGGGTGGATAAGCAAATGTGATGAAGAAAGCTGATGGTGCCCAGCTGTCAAAATATGTA